GATTAAGTTTAGTGAAAAAGGCACAGTAAAAACCAAAAGCTTTCAGTGATAGGCCGAAAGCTAGACCTCTTGTTTTGCTTAACCAAGCTATAAATGCAAAGGAAAAGTTCTTTGTTATAGTTTCGGTCTGGATATTCCCCCACAGCCTCATTCAGTCAGAGGTAGCTGAATCTGGAATGTGTGATGCTGGGATTAAGGGTGTGTGATTATTAAACCTCTACACTGAGTAACTGGTTTAGAACTGCCATAATCCTGGTAATCTGCATGGGATAAAAGAGGCAGAAAGACAAGGTGAAAGGCCTCATCTCTGCTACCTTGTGCACGCCATGTGGTTTCTCCTCTGTGATGTTCTTTTGCCATCCTTGCCTTGGAGCCAGCAGATTATGGACTGAAACCTCTACAAACTGTGAGCTAAATAAATCCTTCCCCCTTTAACTTCTGGTCCTGGCTATTTTGTCTCAGCAAACAAGAAAAAAGTAACATATTCCTAAAGCAATTTAAAAGTGCTACTTTTGTGAAGAGATAAATAAGGAAACAAAACAGCCTTACTGTTGATATGGAGAACATTTTAGTACTCTGCATAGAAGATCAAACCTACCTAAAATTCCCCTCAGCTAAAGTCTAAATGAGAGCAAGCCTCTAACTACTCCTAAATTTTGTGTAAGCTGAAAGAGACAAACAAGTTGCAAAAATAAAGTCTGAAATTAGCTGAGGTTGATTCATGAAGTTTAAGGAAATAAATCACCTCCATAACAAAGTGCTATGTGAAGCAGCAAGTGCTGACTCAGAAGTTACACCACATTGTCCAGCGGATCTGGTTAAGTGATGGAAGTAGCTAAACTTAAACAACAGACTTTCAATGAAGACAAAATAGCTGTTAAGAGAAGAACCCATCTAAGACTTTCATAGATAAGTCAATGCCTGACTTCAAAGCTTCAAAGGACAGTCTGACTCAGGGGCTAATACAGCTGGTGAGTTGAAGATGAAGTCAATGCATTCACCATTCTGAAAATCCCAAGGCTCTTCTAAATTATACTCTATCACCTCGCCTGTGCTCTATGGAACAACAAGGCTTGTGTGACAGCAACCTGCTGAAAAGAGATCACTAGGTCTGGAGATGTAGCTTACTGGTAGTGCACTTGCCTAGCATCCACAAAGCCCTGGGCTCAATCTCCAGCAACACACAAAAAGAGGGAGAAATTACTGAAGATTTTGAGCCTACTGTTGAGATCAATTGCTCCCTCAAAAAAAAAAAAAAAAAA